GTGAGGATTAAAAGATTTAATACCTAAGTGTTTAGCAAAGAATCTTACTTACAGTGAGTTCTCAGTAAACATTTGGTGTTATTAGTGTTAGAAGGTGGAATGTATCAAAAGAATCTAGGAAAATATAGATACTTAAACCTCTGCGTTTCTGTTATGAACATGTACTTTCAAGTCACACAAACATATTATTTTACTTGTGTATGGTATCAGTAAGCACTGTCCAACAAAACTATAATAAAATTAAAATTTTTGTAGTAGTTACATTAAGTAATATTTACCAATAACAAGACATACCAACACTGTGAACCCTTTGATAGGATGCAGTGAGAAGGACATTTCTGCCTGTGATTTTTCTTTTCCAAAAACTATAACTGATGAGAAAATATTAGACGAACCTAAATTGGGGACATTCTACAAAACAGCTCAACGCTCTTTAAACGTGTCAAGATCATGAACAAGGAAAGACTGAGGAACTGTCAGAGATTGAAGGTTAAAGGGAAATGACAACTTAATTCTAGGTGGGGTCTTAGATTGGGGGGCGCAGGGATTGATACAAGTTGAGTGTAGTTTGTAGTTTAGTATTATATTGATGTTAATTTGTTGTTTTTGATGATTCTATTATGGTTATATAACATATTGACTTGAAGGGAAGCTAGACAAGAGTATATTTTGCACCTTTTTTGAAGTTTAAATTTGGTTCAAAATAAAGTAGATGGGGCTGGAGAACATCATGTTAAGCAAAATAAGCCAATCCCCAAAAAACAAAGGTAGAATGTTTTCTTGGATATGCAGATGCTAACTCACAATAAGGGTGGAAGAGGGGCTAGGGAAGAATAGTTACTTTAGATTAGGTAGCTGGGAATGAAGGGAAGGGAGCAGGTATGAGGGTAGGAAGGAAAGTAGAATGAATCAGACATTATTACCCTATATATGTTTATGACTACATGACTGGTGGGATTCTACATCATGTACAACCAGAAAAATGAGAAATTATACTTTATTTATGTAAGAGGTATCATAGTGCGTTCTATTGTCATGTATAACTAACTAAAACTATTTTTTTTTAAAAAAAGAGTAAGTGTTAGTGTCATGAAGACTTTAAATACATAGACTATTGATAATTCTGAAAAGGTGGCCAAGGAAAGTCCCAGCAGTGTCTTAGATTAGAGATGGCTTGACTCTACTCTTTAGTTTTCTGGTCTTTGTGTATCAGCACCTAGCACTATGTTTTGCCCATAGTGGGAATACACATATCTAGAATATTTTTTCTAGATTGATATTTTTTCTAAATAAATTTTCTAGATAATTATTCTAGATAGATAACACATATATCTAGAATGATTTAAAATATTAAAAAAGAATAAGTGAATTTAATTTTAATCATGTACTTTACTTGATTCAACATGCATAAAATATTCATATAATTGGCACAGGACTGAGAAATGAAACATTTTTTAATACTATTTTTCAAGAATCTGGTGTGTTTACACATTGTGCATTTTGGTTTGAACTAGCCATTTTTCCTTTCCCTCCCATAGACACATGTGTCCCTGGGGCTGTCATAATGACCAACACAGGTGGATGCAGTGATTGGTGTGTAATTCAGGGGCCCAGAGCACTTTTCTGGTGTCTGGTCCTTTTCCAGCTATGCTCCTGGGTCTTCCTCCATAAATCCTTACTTAGTACTCTCAGAAATGATTTGTTTTTTGGAGGGTGGCTCAGGTTAACTAAATTCTGATAACAGTGGTGGATAGTCTAAGGAAAAAAATTATAAAGAACCTGTCCCTTTTATAGGGAGTGACATGCTCCTAGTCCCAGTGATTTTTAAAGTGTGGAATAGATTCCATAAGTTTTCAGAGGCATAAGTTTTCAGCTGCACTTGGTCATGACATTAAATAACATTCCTTATGAGGTGAGAATATTTCCCCCCCATTTTGATTCTCTTTCATTTCTTTTGATTTATCAGTAAACAAAACTAATTTATTGTCCTGTTCTTATATCTTTAACAGCCCTCTAATACTTGGTAATCCCTTTTTCTCTTTCTCCACCATTCTATTCCCTGCTTCTCCAGGATGCATGATTTGTTCCTATTTTCTTAATTTTTTTTTATCTACACTCTTTGTTCATGGAAATAATGCTGCCTTTTCATTTAATTCTTGATATGAAATTCCTTATAACTTTCTAAAATTTATATGTAAAAAATATAAACATATGGACAAATTTACTAAAAATACAAATATTAAGATAATCACAGTTCAAGTGGCACCAGGAACTAGCAAAAACAAACAAAATGAACACATAAATAAACAAACAAACAAATAAATGGACAAATAAGTAAAATAAAAATCATTCAGGGAGAATAAGAAGATTTGAAATGTGGTGAGTTCAAGTCTTGATTTCCGAAGTGCCCACTTACAGAAGCTTCTAAGAAAACAAACGTGGGGAGATGGAATGTGGTGTTCTCAATTAATCAACTCCCTTGTTGGATCTTTCCTTAGAAAGGTTGCTTTTCTTTTCACTTCTCCGGCTGTTTGTGCCTCTCTTCCTGTTGGCCTTCTGTTCTTTCTTTGCTCCTTCTCACTGTTTCCTCTTTCATCTCCCATCTTCTGGACAAAGTTCTGGAGATCTTCACCCACCAATCACTGCTGGGCTCTGGCAAGGGGCGTGCTGCCATCTGACCAATCAGTGCTGCACCGGATATCTTGGGCTTTCCACTGTTATCGTCAAAAGAGGACCCACGTACATATATTCAGGATTTTTTCCCCTGGATATTTTAAATCCCTTTAAGCTTAAATTCTGAGGGCCTTTAGGGAAAACAGTGCTGACATGAAACAATTTCTGGGTTTAAATTCTGGGCAATTGGAGGGCACTAATTCCAGAGGAGGAAACATTTACTATGACATTTTTACACTTTTTAACTCCCTTGGACCAGACAGGTGGGCTTCTAGGTACATCATGTTTTACTAACTTTATGCACCAATGGGATAGCAAATGAACTTCTAAAATCTTGCCAGAGTAGCCATATCCTTGAAAGATTGATATTATTGGCATTAAATTCTGGGAGCCTTTAGGGAAAACAGTACCAACATGAAACTCTAAATAAATACACCGAACTCGGCAATTCAAAGAAAAATAACTACCATTTTTTTTCTTTTCCTCCATAGTTATGGGTGGAGTTTGGTAGAATGAAAAGGTTTAAAGGAGCTTTTCCCACTATGAGGTAATATAAGAAGACTTTTTGATTTCAGACCTGAAAATAGTGTCAAATTTTGCAGTTAGCTTCATTCACATCCCTTCTCCTTTGTCACATTTCCCATTAGTTGTTTTCTTTCTATATTCAGTTTTTGGAACTCACCCAATAAGAAATATCTTCAAGATTTTACTGACTCTTCCAGGCAGAGCAAGAAGACTTGTTAAGCAAACAACTCTTGCATCTTCAAAGCAAAACTCACCAAGAATGTTTATGCCACAAAACCTTACCACCATCACCACAGCCCAGCTCAGAGTCCCCAAAGACAGCTGTAGCTGTTGGCCAGCTAACCACAGAGGTCACCCTTTGATTCATTTAAACACCCCAATCTGTTCATTGGCTGTTAGAATGGCGTAGACGCCCCGCTGACTTGAAGACAATGAGGAGACCGAAAGTTGAGTGCCATTTCTCTGCTAATACTTATTATTTTTGGCTAATATTTACTAAGAAAATAAAACAGATAACTAGATAAAGTGCCTTACTTGTGTAATTCCCTCAACAGACTAAGGAAAATGTGCTGCCATTACCTTCATTATCTAGATGAGAAACTTGAACTCTGTGAGAGGATCTGTCACTTGCCCAAGTACCTTCAGCGAGTAAGACAGTGAAGCGTGGGTTCCAACCCAGAAGGCCTGGCTCTGGAAGCTGCCCTTTATCTCTGCACCAGTTAGCCAGCCTCTCTGAGAAGAAGCACTTTTGCTCTGACTGAGTCTGTGAGCCAAGCAAATTGGAGGGGAATCCATTTATCTATTTTTTAAATTTTTAAAAATCAAGTTATATTTTAGTAGAAAAATTCCTGGGCACTGGATGTGATAAACGTCACATTTAAGGCTACAACAAAAGTTCTGCTTTCATATAGTTGAAGGAAAAATTCACACAAAGTAGAGTTAGGAACATGGTGTCTTAGAAAATTAAGTAAAAATGAAAAACTCTGGAACTTGAAACTAAAATGAGACAGTATAAAGAAAATGATAGCAATAATGGTGTTTCTATCACCTATGATGTTCCATTTTTGGTGTTCCATTTTGGCAATTTTAATTTTCTTTAAGTTTTTAATCAGTCCCAAACCTATTTGATGCTTTTACATTTATTCTAAGGGAGTGGGTTCTGAAGTACAACTTTTAGAAAAGAATTATATTGCTTTTAAAAAATTGCAATAGAAATAGGGGATATCCAGGCAGTATTTATTCCTCGGGGAGAATAAATAAATAAATAGATAGATAAATAAATAAATAAATAAGAAAGATTGTCTGGGGCTCTTTCTTTGCCTTGCTTTCCACTGCTGTTTAGGCTTTCTCTGTTCATATGGGGTAGTGACCAATAGCAAACTAAGTAACAAATTCAGCAAATTAAGGAGGTTGCCCTAGGTTAGGGTATGAGTCCAGACAAGTCCAGCAGTCTTGGAGAAGGTTCTATAATCTTTGTTGGAATGACAACACCTAGGAGTGGGGTAGGGGGCTGGCCACTACAGCTGAGAGGTCATTACTTTGTTTTGTAGTGTTTTTACATCAGTTGACTTTATTAGGGACTTTTCATATCTTTTAAAATCCAATGGTCCTTGTGTGAGAAAAGATGACATATTAAGTTCTAAAATGCCAAGTTCTTGCTTAGAAATGAAATTAAATTCTAATATCTGGCAGGATAGGAGGCAGTAGTTCAGCCATAGGTTAATTCCCAGAAATGACTACCAAATACATACTGATGATATTTTTTTTTCTTTTTTTCTCCCACACAGATGGATCTGATGGAATATACTCAAACTATGGAATGACTTGAGTTTCTTGGTCTGACTTGGGGATCTAAGTTGTGAAGAGAGGAAGCATTTCTTTTTTCTTTTTCAGGAAAGGAAGTTTTAAAACTTAGAGACTTTGGGAATGGGTATACTAATTTTCTAAGGCTGCCACAACAAAGTACCAAAGACTGGGTGGCTTAAACAACAAAATTTTCACAATTCTGAAGGCTACAAGTCCAAGGTAAAGGTGTCCTCTGGGTTGTGTTTTTCTGAGGGTGTCTCTTGGCTTATGGGAGGCTGTCTTCTCTTCACGGGTTGTCCCTCTGTGTGTATGTGTCCTCATCTTTTCTTATGGGGTCACCAATCCTTTTGAATCAGGTCATATCCATATGACCCTTTAGGTCCCATTTCCACTACAGTCATATTCTGAGGTCCTGTGGGTTAGGACTTCAACATGTAAATTTTGAGGTGGACTCAAAATGACTTGTAATAGGGAGTTAAATCATTATTGTAGACTGATTCGAAAAAGGATGCTTGCTTTAGAGCTAGCCTTCAAGATTATGAGTTGAAGAAGTCTATCTTTTGGCACACAGTCTTTGTTTTCCTGGATCTTTTCCTCATCAGGTTGCTATCAGCTTCTTTATCTTCATCAGACTCCTGCCTCCCTGTTCTGTCTCCTTCCATTTATCTCTTGCTGTTTTTTTTTTTCCTCCCGTGATTTTCTCAATAAAGAATCTGATATAAGTCATTGATATAGTGGAACACTTTTGAGTCAGGGAAATTTACTTGTCATGTTCTGTCTACAGTAGTATAATGAAGGCTTTGTCTCCACTTAAAGGAATTCAGGCATCAGTGAGTAGATCAATAGGTGAGGGACTGGCTGAGGTATAGGCTTTTTCCTTGCTTTGCCTCTGAAATAACAATATGCAGCCAGGCACTTGCTAAATTCATCTCTTTACAAAATTGATCCTTGGATCAATTGGATAATTCCCCTTGCCCCCAAGGAAATAGGTAGCAAACACAAGTAGGGGTCACCAGAGAGAGAGTCTAATAAAGAGACTATTTGCAAAGGTGTAAGCAGGGTTAAAGAAAACCAACAAGAGACAGAGAAACACCCCCCGAAAGCAATGGAAGGAAGCTATTAACTACCTCTAGATCTTCTGAAGGTCAAGGGGAGGGAATGCTTGGCAGAACCCAGACAGAACTGTAAGAGTAGCTATTGTGATGGCAACAGGAGCTGAGCCTTTGAAGGGAGGCAACTTAGAGCTTAGATCCTCCAACTTCACCTTCCTCCTGCCCACCAGTCTCCTGCCAGAGCTCCCACAGCTGAAAGCAAACAGAAGCCAGCAGTTGAAAAAGTCAGTGAGATCTGTAAGAATCAGTCTCCCCAGCACAGAGGAGGTTGGAAAGGGTCCTTCTCACTCCAAGTTTTTCACTGTTGAATATGAGGTAACTGAGTACAGAACTCTACAAGACCTTCGAACAATCAATGAATGCTAATTGTAGGCTCTTATTTTCTCATTCTCTAATTTGAATGATGCAATGATTTAGAAAAGGTTTCTGTTAGCCATTGTTGACCATTTACTATAAAAGTTTAATTCTAAATCCTTCTACAAGGAGTTTTCGTACTGTGCCTTGAACATTAACACACCTCTACCCCCATCAAGATAACAGGCTTCTGCTGTTCTTGTCTGCCTGATAGCCTTTCCCTCTTTTCTGGTAATAGCACTTTGATTTTTTCCTTAGGACCACTTTTCCTCAGCTTTTAGTTCATATAGTTTGGGTAGGACTGATCTCATTTCTGGACTCCAGGGATGGGCACATGAGCATCCAGGAGCCAATCAGAGCTCCACATCTCCTTTGCTACAAGGGTTATTTCAATAATAGTCAAGTGGCCCGTATCATTCTGGATGCATTCATCATGCTAGGACTTTCACTAATGCTATACTCTTTGTAAACTGTCATGTTTGCAGAATTGGAAGGATAAAGCATAGAAATCCTCGAAAGAACATGTCTGAGAAGGAAGTGAACACATAAAACAGCAAGAATGAAATACAAATAAAGATGGATTCCTGGACCTAGCTGTACCTGAAGGTAGGTTCTCTTGGATTTATTTTTAATTTCATGAGCCAATAACTCTTTTTCTTCTCTTAAGCCATTTTGGGTTTCTGTAACTTATAAAGAAAATTCCTCGTTAATATCTTCTCTGTTATTTTAAAGTCAGTATTGTTTTATGTTGGGTTCTGTATATCTTGTTTATTATAACATGTTCTGGGATCAGTTCTGTGCTTTTAGGTTGGATGGCAGGGATTAGCAGTGTTGCAAATGCATTTGTTAACAGAAAAATAAAATTCTTTATAGACTGTCAGCTGGAATCTTGGCAATTGAAGCCACTTATCAATTACAAAGAACATCCATCTCTTATGAAATAATGCAAAATGCAGACACAGGCAATCCAGAGGAATATACAGCATTGATTTTTAGTTTTTAATATGCTAGAATAAAGCCTCAGAAGCAAATAAAACTACAGCACATTTAGAAGTTGCAACTGTTGCTTATATATCTTTAGATTACATTAAACACATTACAGGGTTTTCCATCCATCTAGGAAGGATAAACAGAATAGTTCCATTTACATCTTCTATTTGCATTGCTGTTATTCTCTCTCAGGCTATAAATATGTTTCTAAGGTTATTCTTGGGGCAAAATTTCCAGGATAGAATAGGTCTGAATTCTGGCATATTATTGTTCAGACTTTGTTCATCTAGTAGTAAACAGAATAAAATTAAAATTAAAAGAATAAAATTGATCCAATCATTTGGAAGATCTCAGATAGCTATAAGGAAGATAAAACAATATCTGGATGTTTGAAGTTTATGCAGATGGAACCTAATTTAAAATGTAGGTGCATATATGTATATTGCTTTGAGGTCCTAACTTGAGCTTGAATGGGGCCCCTGACCTGCTTGGAAATATCAGATAAAGTGACAGATCAGGCCTACCTGGTCCAGAGACCTCTTGATGTGCTGTAAAGCTTCTGCTATTTATTACCTAATTGCCCTTCAGGAGGTTGACTCAATGCTCATTCTTGCCACTTGTAACAGTGCCCCCTGTTTATTTCCTTACCCAAACTGAACATTAGATTTTATTTAGTATTTTAAAAATATCATTGAATATCAATATTCAATGGTATTTTAAAAATACAATTCAAATATTTCTGCCAACTTGATAGGAAAGAATCTATCTCATGATTTTTTTTTTTTTGCTTACTAGTGATCTTGTTTTTATTTTTTAATGTGGATCTTGGACTGCTGCCATTTTTGATGAATTGCCTTCTTACACTTTTTACCTACTATAAAAATTGAAAGCTCTTATTTTTTCAATCTCTAATTTGAATGATGCAGTGTAAATAAGAGTGCTCAGGATATATAAAGAACTCAAAAATCTTAACACCAAAAAACATCAAAAACCCCCCAAAACAAACAAACAAACAAAAACCAACAACAAGTAACCCAATCAATAAAATGGGCCAAGGAACTGAACACACACTTCTCAGAAGATGATATACAATCAATTAACAAGTATATGAAAAAATGTTCAATATCTCTAGCTATTAGAGAAATGCAAATCAAAACCACTCTAAGATTTAATATCACTCCAGTCAGAATGGCAGCTATTAAGAATACAAACAACAATAATAAGTGTTGGTGAGAATGTGGGGAAAAAGTACACTCATACATTGCTGGTGAGACTGCAAATTGGTGCAGTCAATATGGAAAGCAGTATGGAAAACCAGGACTGGAACCACCATTCATTCCAGCTACCCCACTCCTCAGTTTATACCCAAAGGACTTAAAAACAGCATACTACAGTGATGCAGCCTTATCAATATTTATAGCAGCACAATTCACAATAGCTAAATTAGTGGAACCAACCTAGATGCCCTTCAGTAGATGAATGGATAAAGAAAATGTGGTATATATACACAATGGAATATTACTCAGCATTAAAAGAGAATAAAATTATGGCATTTGCAGGTAAATGGATGGAGCTGGAGAATATAATGCTAAGTGAAGTAAGCCAATCCCCAAAAAACAAATTCCAAATGTTTTTCTCTGATATAAGGATGCTATTCATAATGAGGATGAGAGTGCGGAGTGGGAGGAATAGACTAACTTTAGATAGGACAAAGGGGAGGGAGGCGATGGGAAGGGGCATAGTTGTAAGAAAGATGGTGGAATGAGACAGACATCATTAACCTAAGTACATGTATGAATACATGAATGGTGTGACTCTACTTTGTGTACAACCAGAGACATGAAAAATTGGGCTTTATTTGTGTAATATGAATTTAGTTGCATTCTGCTGTCAAACAAATTAGAATAAATAAAATTTAAAAAAATAAATAAATAATTAAATGTTGTTAGAAAGGAAAAAAAGTGCTCATGTTATTATTAGTGACTTGTGTAAAATTTTATATATTGATTACATTGGCCAAATTTTGCTGTTATAAAAGCTAAAAATATTTTCTCTTCATCATTTTACCTTTCATTATACATTTTTGATGCATAGAAATTTGTGGTTTTATTAATTATATATATATATATATATAATATATATAATTTACTTATTTTGGTACCAGGGATTGAACTCAGGGGCACTCAGCCACTGAGCCACATCCCCAGCCCTATTTTGTATTTTATTTAGAGACAAGGTCTCACTGAGTTGCTTAGTGCCTCACCCTTACTGAGGCTGGCTTTGAACTCACGAAGCTCCTGCCTCAGCCTCCTGAGCTGCTGGGATTATAGGGATGTGCCACCACGCCCAGCTATATTTATTTAACTTTTGAGGCTAACAAATATCTTTCTCACCCAGAGATCAGATTTATCTATATGTTTTCTAAAAACATGTCTTTTGTATCTTTTTCAACACATGATTATTATTTTAAAAAGGAAAATCCCCCGATAATATGGATAAGGAGAATGCCTGAGAAATAACTATAAAACAGGTTATCCTTCTGAGCAGTTAGAATATAATTTTCCTTCAAAGTAGTAAAGTATGATTTTCTTTTCTTTCTTTCTCCCTCTCTTTCTCCCTCTCTTTCTTTCTTTCTTTCTTTCTTTCTTTCTTTCTTTCTTTCTTTCTTTCTTTCTTTCTTTCTTTCTTTCTCCCTCTCTTTCTTTCTTTCTTTCGTGTGTGTGAGAGAGAGAGAGATCTCACTTTGTTGACCAGGCTGAGTAGCTGGCACTATATGTATGTGCCACCTTGCCTGGCTACAGCATATTTTTTTCCAGTCTAAATGTTATGTATTCTTCAAATTATTTTATGACTTAAGTTTTTTTACATTTGATTTTGAATCATGTATTTATTTGGCCATATTATTTGAAGTAGGGCTCTAACACTACTTTTCCCAAATGGCTGGCTAATTATTCCTAACTTTCCATTTACTGAAAAATACATGTTTCTCTCACAGACTTGAAATTCTATTCATCTGTCATTTTATGGAATTCCCATGCTCTTTGGACTTGCTTCTGGCATTTGTGTTCAGTTTAACCGATTCTTACATCTGTTCTTAGGCTCAACTCTCCTGTCATGTCACTTACCAGTCCATCATCTTGTTCACTCTCAAATTCCTTCTTCCAAAGAATTCTCAGATCACTTGCTCAGATTCCCAAGCATGAAAAAAATCCAGTTGGTTATTTTGGTCAGAAAATTATTTACAAGTTATATATTTATTTATAAATTAATTTGGAGAGAATTAATATTATTGTAACACTGGGTCTTTCCATTTAGAGAATTCATTACCTTTCCATTTTTCCAGTCTTTGTTATATCCTTCACTTAGTTTCATTGTCTTCTTAATAGAGTGTATATTTATTGTAATTTTCTTCCCCATATAGTTTTTTAAATCATTCATCCCCCATAGTATCTACAAAGCTATAGGCTATTCTCAAACTTATTTTGTTCCCAGTGGCCTTATTAATCATAATACTTTTTCAGTTTATTCTCTTGATAATCAAATATATCAGAACAAATATCTGATAATGGTTTCCTCTCTTTTTAAAACCATATAGCAGCCAGGATGCATTGGCACATGCCTGTAACCCCAGCAGCTCGGGAGGCTGAGACATGAGGATCATGAGTTCAAAGCCAGCTTCAGCAAAAACCAGGTGCTAATCAACTCAGTGAGACCCTGTCTCTAAGTAAAATACAAAAACAGGACTGGGGATATGGCTCAGTGGTTGAGTGCCTGAGTTCAATCCCTGGTACAAAAAAAAAAAAAAAGCATATACAAATTATTTCTTTAAAAAATCTTTTTGAAGATTGAAAAACAGGAAGGACAGTATCTCCTCTTAACCTTAGGTGACCCCTTCAGTGTTTCATAATTAAACACAATAAAGTCCAGTAATCTGAGGTAATGACTTCATCTGCCTGAGAAGCAGCCATCTAGTTCTTCTGTATCAACAGATTTTTCATTTTAAAAATTATGCAAGAATGCTGAATATTTTAAAGAATTTTCAGCATCTACCAAGATGATTGTATATTTTTTTTTTCTCTTGAGGTTAATGAGATATGAATTTCTTACTATTAAGCAAGTCTTGCATTTTGGGAATAAATTCTGTTTGGTGGATTAATCCCTTAATGAGCTACTGGGTTAAACTTTTTTTGTGTTTAAAATCAGGATGTTTGTATTTATAATCATAAGTGAGATTGGCCTGTGTACCTTTTGAGTTAACTTCATTAGATTTTTGTTATGTTAGTCCTATGTCAGCTCCACGGAATGCACTGGAACACTTTAGATGTTGTCTCCAATGCTCCATACTGCAACTGTTCTACTTTTTGAAGGTCATTAAAGAACTCACTGTGGAGTAGTGTAAGTTCAGTCCTTTTTTGTGGGATAGTTTGCTAGTTCCATTTCTATTTTCTTCCAGGGTTTTAGTTTGTTCAGTTTTTTACTTCTCTGTCAATTATCTGAGACTCAGAAAATTGTCTATTTAAGCCATATTTAAAAAATTAAATAGAAATTTGGTGTTGCCTTTTCTTTAAAGTTAAAAAAGTTTTCATCAGTATCTACGTTATTTTTTTCTCTAATATTGTGAATGTCTATTCTTTTTTCCCTCATGTTGAGTCTTGCTTATATTAATTTTAAGATAAAATAATTCTTTTGTCTATTTACATTTTCTCTTCTTTTTTAGTTGTTGATGGGTTTTTGTTTTATTCACTTATTTATAAATAGTTTGTGGTGCTAAGAATTGAACTTAGTGCCTCACACATGAGGCAAGTGCTCTACCACTGAGCCACACAACTCTAGCCCTTTCTCTGTTTCTTAATGCAACATTTTTTGTTTTAAAATAGATATTGTTTCTGATTTAGAAAAAGCTAGTTAGCTATTTTCGTATCTTAACTTAAAAAATTAGCCCATTTGTTTAATTTTTTTAATAGTAAAAAAAATTTTCTATCAATTAGATGTACCAACACAACCTTTGCTTTTGAAATGAGATAAGTGGAAGGAAGACATCTGTTTTGCAGAGGTGGCCCAAGCCAGTGGTGACCATGGCAGCTTTTATGATAATGATAAAATCATGGAAGGATGGGAGTTATTTCTGGAAGCTAAGCCCAAAATCTGCTTCTCCAGCCCTTCTAAAGATTTTGTAATGTCTGATAACAAATCTTTTCCTTGCTGAGCTAGAGAGAATGGTTTCTGTTATCTGCAAAGGAATCTTATTTGATGTATTGACTTTACCATACATTTAGTTCTTTGGTACACAAGTGCCTCATTCTGGACATATATTGTATTACATTGACTTGCCTATGTTTTTTTTTTCCAGTATAAAATAATCTAATTATTATAACTTTATAATATGGTGCCACATGTGTCAGGTCTACTAATCATCTCTACTCCTTTATATTAAAAATGTATTGTCTTGGAGGAACTTTAACATTGCTTTGACAATTTCTGCATGGTTCTCACTCTACTTTGACTATGTTTCTTGAGAATTTTGATTCAATGTGCCATTTGAGAAAACTGTCCATCTGCTGACCTGGGGATTTAACTTGGGCTCATAGTGTCTTGCTAATAAACCTAGTATATCTGTCAGTCATGAAATCTAAAGATTTAAGGTGGGGATATAGACGATAAAGTGTGACACTAATAATCATGCCCATATAATTGCACCTGCCAAAATTTGTTTATGTTTGTATGCCAAATGACTTATGAAAAGCCAGAGAGGCATGAGTTCAGTGCATTGATAGTTAGGTAATTATATGTGTGTGTATACTTACCATATATTATATCTATCTATATATGCACTGAATGAATAATGATTAACTGAGGAGAGGCTGTGTTCAAATTTATTACTAACTAATTATATTCTTTTAGTATGTGAAAATGTAATCTCTGAGAGACTGAGATAGCTCCAGCGTAGACCCTACAAACCCAATACCCTTGTTTCTCTTTTGCTTTGGAGACATTATAAGAACACTAATCTAGAATCAAGTATATCTGAGTTTTAGTTGTGACATTGGCTTAGCAAATCTGGGCAAAACATTTAACTTCTTTGAGACAGGCCTGCATTATAAGAGGATGGAGATGACAATATATGTTCTGCACAAGTCTTTGGTTATTAATATGTAAGATGTGTAGGCATCACATATGCTGTAGAAACACCATAAGAATATGCATTTTCTGCCTTTCAGCATTTCTTTCACCTGCCTCGATCACGAAGGCATTTTGCTCTATTTATCACTCCATTTTCTCCATTAAACTTTTCAGCCATCTCTGATTTTTCCTGACATAACAATGAGTCCAATCTCACTTATGCTTCATAATTTCTGTCAAACTCCACTAGCTTTTGCAAGGTCCTTGTGCCTCTTTTCAGTTGGTTTGGCACTCAGGAATGGGGACAACTCTCGTTACATGTTAATTTCCCAAATCTACTCAAGACATGAAATAGTGATTAAGAAATAAAAGTGGACATTGGTAACAAGAATGAGATCAGCTTTTCATCTGATTCTCTTCATGGCACTCAGAATTATTCCTGTTAAAGCTTCATTTGACTTTTTAAAAAAATTGCTTACAAAAACTATGAATTACTAAGTTATAGGATGCTTCTAGGATTTCCAAATAGGAAAGGATACATCTTGGGACTCAGTGTTGTATGGAATCAAAATCCCAATAGAATGTAGGGAGTGGGGATGTTAGGCAGGGAGAATTTGTGAAAAATTAACAACGATTATCAGGCTCATTTGGAAAAAGTTAGATGAAAGTGGATTTTATAAAATAAGTAAAGGCCTTGCCTGGTGAAAATATAAAGCTCATTATTAAGCTATTTAATAATCTTTGCTTTTTGTGCTTTATGTATTTTGCTTTTGTATATATAAGGTAATTTTATAAGACTTTAAGGAAGAAAATAAATCTCACACAGTGCAAGTCTCACATAGTTTCTGTTATTAGAATGATACGTGGTCACAAGAGAAAATAATCATTTGTAATACTAACAAATGAAGATTTTGATGCTTTTACTATCTTTTTTTCTTTGTATGGTTTCTATACTTTTTTATAAATTTTATGTAAAATTTTAAACATTAAGCTCATATATATGTCATACATACAATTTGCTTTTTGCATTTATAATTCTATAAATTCTATATTCATTCTATAAAATCCTTGGTTTGTACATTTAGAAATTACACTTTGAAGAGAGTGAGACTCATGGGTGTAGTTTTCTTTCCTTTTCTCTCTCTCTCTCTCTCTCTCTCTCTTTTGGCCTGAAAAATGAATAGCTACTTTTCTTCTTAAAAAGAGAAAGCTAATTTTCAGTTTATACCAGTAGATGTCATCCATTCACTCAAAGCACACCCAAAAAACAAAATGTAATTTGACTTAACTCCTGCAATTTTTACCACATTCCAATAGCATGTTCTAGCTTATCTAAAATCCTTAAGTGAAGAGCATTTTGGCTTTAAACAGAATTTGGAGAAGTTACTTTTGTCAGGTAAGGTGCTTGCAAAGAAAGAAAAAAATATCAGAACAGTTTTTGAAATGTAATGAGTTTCTTAAGTTTAAAGTTCTTTTTTTAAAAATAAATTCATATAAATAAATATAAAATAAATTAATATAAATAAATATATGAATGTGTGTGTGTGTGTGTGTGTGTGTGTATTTTTTTTTCCAAATCAGTTTTATCCTCTAAAAAAATAGGTTAATAATGGATAGTCCATGAGCCAAACTGTAATTTTGGAACTTCAGATATTTTTTGCCACTTGGCTCACATTGTATTTTATTTTTTTTGAATAAATTGCAAAATTTTAAAAAGTGGTATCTTTCCCATTAGACTAGACTTTAGTGTGTATTTGGAAGAAATCAGAAGCTACGTTGGGTTCCTATTCCCTTGTGGCAGGGTGGCTTTATTTTATTTATTTACTTTTTGGTTGGTGCTGAGGATCCAGCCTAGTGCTTCATATGTGCTAGGTGAACGCTCTATCACTGAGCCACAAACCTAGCCCCTTAAAGTTCTTTTATAATCCTAAAAATTCATCAACTACTGGGGAGAAGTAATTAAAAAGCTACTCAAAGAAAGCCAATGGCAAGTATCATTTGGTTTTCTGCAGTCTCAATCCTCTGTATGAACATTCAAAATAAGACAAAATGTGTGCAATAGTTTAAAAATATAAATATTAAAAAGTCGTGAAAAATTTAAAGCATAATAACTAAAAATTTTTTGATATCATGTAATGTTTTTAAGAGTTTTCATACACATTACACTTTAGTCCTCACAAGAATCCTCTGTGGTTACAGAGGAGTGAACTTCTACTCAGGACAGTAGTAGACATCTCTATCAGAGCCACTCCTCTAGTGAATGACCAGAGTCAGATCTAGAACAGGGTCTCTTTAGTTTATATGAGTGTGTGTGTGTGTGTGTGTGTATGTGTTTTTTTTTCCCCAAATCAATTTTATACTTTAAAAAAGAGGTTAAAAATGGATAGTTCATGGGCCAAATTGGAACTTTAAGTGTTTTGTTTGCCACTTAAAATCTTGGCTCACATTGTATTTTAATAAGTTGCAAAATTTTAAAAAGTGTTGTCTTTCTAGTTTTTCCCGTTATACTAGACTTCAGTGTGTAATTTGGAATCAATCAGAAACTATGGGCACATTGGGTTCTTATTTCTTTGTGGCAGGGTAGCTGGAGCTGATCTGATGGCTGCATTTCCTGTGTGTTGGCCATTTGCCTGGGTGTCTGCCACTCCCTGCTATTGACTTTTATCTAACCCACTTAATTAATTTGTTCTAGCTATCTGGGGCTGTACATGTATAAGTCCATAGGTCTTTTGAGTTGTAGTCTTTTGAGAATGATTTTGTACTTAATTTCAACTTTGCTATTATGGTTCAGAACACGTTTAGAATGGAGTTGTACAAGAAATATAGTGTCAATATTTTAGTCTTTTAATTGATGTGTGACATCTGCTTGATCACTCAGAAGGAGTATATGGAATGAGGAAAGCAGAGGACCAAATCTCAAGTTCTGGGCAACGTCAATATCAACTTTGAAGAGGAGAGAGAGATTAGAAGAACTGATGAAGTATCCCAAGTGAAGAGATGGGTCAGAGAGATGGAAAAGAGGAGAGCGATGCTTCTGACCACACCTGAGGACCATGCATGTTCTTTCCTGAAGTGTTTCTTGAATTAGGAAGCTAAAAGTCTCCTTTGAGAATCACTTTCAATTATCCACAGAATTGATCTGAGAGGCACACAGATTCACCTAAAACAAGAACAGTTCTTAGGTTGGATAACTCAAGTCAGGAATGGTGGTACTGTTTCAAGATAAAGTAAGCACAATGTCAAACTTCAAGTATAGCATTGAATAATCCAGAGAGGTCAGGATGCTGAGGAGAGACAGTACTCATTGGAGTTGGTAGCGTGTACCTCCTAAGCTGTTTCAAGGAATGATAAGAAAGAAATAATTTACAATAGGTCTGGGGACCGTTAGGAAAAAAAAATAGAGAGTAGAAACTAAGTGTGGATTTCTCTTTACTAAAAAAGAAGAGACAGAAAGAAAGGGCAGGGTTTGCACAGTCTGAGGAAGTGTGTGTGTGTGTGTGTGTGTGTGTGTGTGTGTG